TAATACACACACAAAGACAAATGCATAAAGACACATATACTCATTCCAACAGGTATAAACATATTTATGTGTACACAAGCAAACGTATATACATATATGTGTACATATACATATAACCACACATAAATTTGGAGCACTACCTGTATGTTGTAATATATACAAGTGTGTATGTTTATATAAGTATATACGAATATATACAAATACAAACATATTCCAATTAATACATGCAAACATGTATTTATGCATACATATATATAGAACACACATGCAGAATACATATAGAACACACACAAAGATATCTAGAACACAGGTAATATACTGTTGTTATTTGTCTTTCGTCCTCAAAAAGGACCAATGACATCAAGAGGGTGATGTCTTGACTTGCAAGTGAATAGGATTTAAGTGAATCAAGGCTGTGCAAAGTAATCATCCTCACTCTTTCCTCCAGAGTTATTGGAGTCCAGTGGCAAGACATAGGTCAGGATGACTGGTGTGGCAATAAAAAATATTCAACTTACAGTAAGAGAGCCTGAGGCAGAGATCTGAGCCAATGATGCTTTATTAAGGGGTCCATGGTCCTCTCTAATGAAGTGGACCTCAGATCTTCCTCAAGATCTGAGGTGATCCCTTTTTCCAGGGCCCTATCTTATAGGGTTAGATATCTAAACATTGAAGAATAGCTATACCAAATACAGAACAATTCCATTGGTTGACATATGATGCATAGGTTAAATGATCTGTCAGTAGAGTCATGAGTTGGGTAAAGCAAGGAACATATCCACTGACTAGGTGGTCATAAGATGGTCATAAAATGGACAACTGCTCACGTCAGACAAGAGAGAATAGTCTGGAGGTACAAAAATAAATTTGGGGGACTTTCCATGTAGTTAAATCACCTCTGTCACACTGGGCTTGGTCACCACGACAAGGAAAAACAAGAGGAGGGCATCTAGTTAATTTCCTATGATTAAGCAAGTAAACTTACAATCATCTGCTCATCGCTCTGAGGTGAAATACACAGAATTTATAATCACTACCCCTATGGAATCATAGTGAATGGACTAATAATGATTAGTGTTTGAGTTGGGGTCCTCAAAGAATCAACTTTTTTACTGGAGATGACCCCATAGGCAGTGGGAGACCTTAATCTTTCTAAGGCGAGGTCTTTCCCAGGACTCAGTTTGTCTGAGGCAACACCCATTCAGTGCTTTAAGGTTAGTCAAGCAAGAAAGGAGGCAAAAGATGTCCTTATTTGCCTACTCAAACAAACAAACAAACAAACAAACAAACAAACAAAACAACAACAACAACAAAACTGGGAGGGGAAAACCCAGTTTCTGGCCAGAACAGAAACAATTGCTATTTGCACTCACTTTGACCCATCAAAACCAAAATGATAACCAACTAAGGCTTGGGGTGAGGCCTATTTTTGGCCAGTCCATGAGAGCCAGAATGATTTGGGTTTAAGGCATGGCAAGTAGCTATATTTGAATCCTGATGGGCTTTATCAGAGCCTGATTTTCCAGAGCTCTATTTCAAGAAATCATAAATGAAACTATATGGGACAAAAGAGTTAATTGTCCCAGTTTCTTTCTCTCTCTCTCTCTCTCTCTCTCTCTCTCTCTCTCTCTCTCTCTCTCTCTCTCTCTCTCTCTCTCTCTCTCTCTCTCCCTCTCTCTCTCTCTCCCTCTCTCTCTCTCTCTCTCTCTCTCTCTCTCTCTCTCTCTCTCTCTCTCTCTCTCTCTCCCTCTCTCTCTCTCTCTCTCTTTAAAATATAGAATAAATCAGTGGGGAAAAAAATCTAACTCCTAAACAACAAGATATGCGAGATTTCAGTGATCAAAATTTATATTCTTTCGCGCAGAGAGCACCCACATGTAAGGATATGAGATTCCCCATGTAGACAGAGAAAGGGAGGAAGGGCAGAAGGGAGGAAAAAGCAGTGGAAATGGCCGGTTGGGTCCCCAGTGGGGTAGCTACTACTGCTCACAGATTGTTGTTTATCTTTCATTCTCAAAGAGGATCAATGACATCAAGAAGGCGATGTCTAGACTTGCATATGAGTTGGATTGAAGGGAGGCAGGGCTATGCAAAGTCAAGAACATTGCTCTCTCTTCCAGAGCCATCAGAGTCCAGTGGTAAAGACATAGATCAGAATGATGAGGGATTACTCCAGATGCAGTGGGAGGCCTTAGTCCGTTAAAGCTAAGGTCTTTCCCAGGTCTTAGTTTGTCTTAGGCAATGCCCATACAGTAATTAAAGAGTAGGTAAGAATTGAGACAAAAGAGGGCCTAGTTTGCCTTCATACAAGAATCAGTCCAGGAGGGGAAGACTCTCAAGAGTTTCTGGCCAGAACAGAAACAATTGCTATTTAAACTTATTCTAAGCCATCAAAGCCCAAACTATGAGCAAGTGAGGCTTGGGGTGGGACCCATTATTGGCCAATCGTTCTAACTGATATATACAAACATGTATATTTATAAAGAAATATATGCATATATACATATATAGAACATACATAGAATATACAGAAACATATATAGAACACAGTTAAGATACAAACATATGCAGAATGGGCAACATAATCACAAACACACATGTGTGCACATATATGTATGCATATACAAGCACTGAACACTATCCCTGTCCAATAATATACATGTGTGTGTGTGTATATAAATGTACATGTATACACATGCATAGGTCCCTAAATATACACAGGTGAATATTGAGGTATAAACATATGCACACACACACATAGATGCATATAGTTTATATATGTGGCATAGTCTACATATATGTGCACACACATAGGCATTTGTATATACACAAGACACAGAAAAGTCCAGAGCACTACCTTTATGCCACAATATGTATATGTGTCAATTTTATAAGTGTGCATAGAGACAAATACACTGCAGTGTATACATACATATATGTATACCTATGTACATATATGTATATAAATATATATACACACATAAGGTAGACACAAACATGTAATTTACAATACACATTCATGCAAATATACACATAGTAAACATGTGCAGTGTCCACAACCCATGTACGCATACACATACATGAGCATACACCCCATATATGTGTAACCATGTCCATACACGTGTACACATATACACAATGTAATGACACATGCAGACATTTGGACAGGTTACAATTCATATTATTGGAGGAAACAGCCCCCAGATAGATGAGCTCACAGACCTCCTGTAGTCCTGAATGGTTTCCTCCCTCAAGCAGTACACCAGTAGTTCTGAGCAGAGTTAACCCTGCCACTGCTAGTTTCATAACACCGTTTCACATTGTTTCTGTTATTTCAGTTCAACGATTAGACAATACAACTGATACTTACAATCTAAGTTTTGGAGGCTCCAGCTTCTTCAACTCTACTGTCCCTGATGACCCAGTCATGCAGAAGAACACGGAAAGGGCAGGAGAAAACATTCAACTGAAGACTATCCCTACAGCCTATACTTTAAATAAACTATGGGGAATAGGGGTTCAGACTACAGAGTCTCATCTACTGTCAAATCCTTGAGATGTCCAGGAGATGAGAGCCACATAGACATGAGGCAGATTTTAAATTGTCAGACCAATGGAGATACATTGATGAAGAATGTAAATCACAGTAAGCTACGTGTCACCCAGCAGTCTTGTTTGTATTTGATTATTTTCTCTCAAAGGAATCCTCTATTTTAAGATGTATTTTACACTGAGCTTAGCCTTCCTTAAAAAGGATAATATTTACTGAAGAAAAGCTAAAAACTTCCATATTGACAGCATATCAAGCCAGGTGATTACCTAAGACCCTGCTCAATGTGAGTAGATAACCCAATTTCAAGGGCTCCTAGGATTGGAAGAAGTTTCTATCTGATAGAAATTATTCCAGAGTTCTTACCAATCTCTCTTCTCTTACATATTCCAAATTCAACATAGTTCTCTAGTTTCACTACCACTTCTGCCTTCTTTTAAAAGGTGACGTGATATTTGTTTTTTGCTGAATTTATGACCTGTCACTAGCCTGATTATCCTACATGACCCTTTGGTCTGGTGAGAATTTGGTACAATATGTGAGCTATTAGAACATGAAGACCATGAGAGAAATAGTTTTCTACTCCATTGCTTTTCCCACATATGCTGTTCCACTGTGTCTCCAAAATTTCACAGCCCTTGGGAATGAACCTGCAGTTTTCTGGGGAGACATTGATGGTTGGGGGAGGCAGTGACATGGTGGAAATGACCTCACCAAGGAAAGAAATATTACATTTCTGGAAAAAGAACTGCCAATGACCTAAGAAATTCTAACTTGCTGAAGATCACACGGGTTTATAGCAAAGTTTGTTTCCATATGAATTACAAGATGTAGGAATCCTGAGGAGGAACCAGGAAGCCCTTCTCACATGGGTATATGAGATTATAAGCAAAAACAGTTTGCGCCCCTTCAAATAATACAAAACAGAACTCCTGAGTGGAATAGTATTGCTTGTTAGATTATTATTGTTAGCTTGGGTATGGAATGGAATGTTGGCATGGGGTCTACATACTGTGATCTCTTTAAATAGACCAGGTCTGGAAAAATAAGGAATGTAAAGATCACTCGCATACATGCACAAAAAAGACTGACCTTTCACTGTCTCCTTTTTAGAAGTGGTCAGTGATAAGGAACAATAAATCCAGAAAAGAACTCTTACATCTCTCCATCTGCATAGAGGTCACAGCATACCTTTTTGGGGATTTGGGGGAAGGGCCAAGGGAAAAAGAAGTTAACCTGTAGCAATAGGGACACTGGGGTTAGATCAAAAAATTAATTTATAGAGGCTGCCTTTAAGATAGAAGGGACAAAGAAGCCAACCACAACCCTAGACTCAAATTCACTGTTGAACTCATTCATGAACATTGACAAAGGGATACATTTTCATCTGTGCTTCTGTGACCCCATGCATTTCCCACAGAAAGAAGAAAAGGCATTAAAGAATACTCACCCCATATTGCCATAAAAATAGCAAAGAAGACTGTCCCTCCATTGTCAAACAAATGTGTCACCTAAAAGAAAAATTAAACAGGAATGATCTCTTGATTCAAACAACCTTTCAATATTGATCCCATGGAATGGGCATCATTTTTGTGTTTGCTTGTTTGTTTGTTTTTTTGTCTTGAGAAACATTCTTCACTTTTGTTTTCTATAAATGAGGTCATCTTTACATAGAACTTTCTAGATATTTCATGTTCAGTTTTGGACAGGAAGATGTGTCCCCATTTCTTCCTTATTTTCTCCTGGACTATTCTTTTGTTTTACCACCTTTCAAACAACACCCCTTTTTACTCAGAAATTGTACTAAATATTTCTGTAGTACCTAGGTGGGCCACTTACAGTATGAGACGTGACATATTTGATCTCTTCATGGATCATCCAGAAGGATTTGTGTTGGCAAAACAAACACGTCCAGCACTGCAGGTTTTCTTTCCAATGCTTCCCAAATCTAAGGTGTTATTGGGCTCCCCACATGGCCTATGGTTTGTGAAATATAGTTATTTTCCATCATCTTTTGTTAGGTAGCAAAGAACTTTTATCACCCAAAAAAGGTAAGGGGGTTGAGTTTTACACTTCTTTTAATTCTATTGTATCAGGATATAGTTTAAAGATTGTTGAAGAAGGAAATGTTGAATGAAGTTTGAACAGTGGGAAAAAGAACATTTGTATCAGTTGGCCAAGTATTTATTAGTATCTGTGAGGTTTGTGAGAGAATTAACTTATTTGAATAAAGATGTTAGTTCCATCTTTGAACTGTGTTTTCTTGTGTTGTTGCTTTTGGAGTGTGAGTGTGTGTGTGTGTGTGTGTGTGTGTGTGTGTGTGTGTGTGTGAGAGAGAGAGAGAGAGAGAGAGAGAGAGAGAAAGAGAGAGAGAGAGAGAAGAGAGAGAGAGAGAGAGAGACAGACAGACAGACAGACAGACAGACAGACAGACAGACTTTCTTTACTGCTCTGACTGCTGCCCAATTACCAAGCTTAGTTGCAGCATTAGGAAGAAAAGTACATTTTGAATCACAAAGTAGAGGCATATTGCAAAAGTAGGAAGATGAAGTGGATGGCCAGGCAGGTGTTCTCTGCAAGCAATATGTCATCACTGAAAACACAACTGTGAAATGTTCTGTTTAAGGGCTCATATTAGAGTTTTCTATATGGCTACTTTGGAACTACAGTAGCACCTCTCTCAAAGGCTCTTTCCAGTTCTGAAATTCTCTGATATGATGCCTTTCATTTTAGATGATTGGGATTTCCCAAATCTCTTTCACAAATCCATGTTCATATCATAGGTAGAGGAGAAAGTATCATTAAGGAGAGAACTGAAAAGTAATAAACACCCTAAGATTGGGCCCAGAGTAACAGCTAAAGTTGCCAAAGCAAGAGAGGATCTATTTTTTCCTAGTCAACAGCTAAGGAAATCCGTGCAAGGGCTAAAAACCTTGCCAGGCAGAATGGCCCTAAACTGGCCCTGGACACAGCTGTATATAAATTAAAGCAAAATTCATATCACTTCTCTTTTTCCTCTCCATGATCCCTACTCTTCCCCTCTCTCATTTCTCTCTCCTACCAATAAGCGCCCAAAGCTAGATTTGAAGATTAAATTATCAGGCTAGCATTCTATCAACTACTGCCTTGAAAATAGGTTCTCAAACACATGGGGAAAAAAAAAAAGCAATAACTAAACTTGTGGTTTCATTCAGAACTCCTAAGGCAGAAATTCCCTCCATTAACGCAGATTAGAAAATTTTGTTCAATTTAGAATCTTGGAGGGTTTTCTGGGAGCACAGAGAGATTATGTGACTTATCCATAACATCAGTGTAGCAGGGTCAGAGGCAGTGGACAAGACAAAACCTAAGTCTACTAGTATTCCAGGTTGACTCTGTATGCATCCATGCTGCCCCTTTCACACCAAATGATCAAATTTAAAATAATGAATGTTTTAAAGATCCTTCGATGAGTGACAAGACAATTTTATATTTGTTATACAAAAAGGTACCACTGCCTATTAGAGGTGCCATCTAATTTAACTGAGAGGTGGCCAGGTGACATTTTGAAGAGTTGGGAAGTCATGGATGTGAATCCTACCTTAGACACTCCCTAGCTGTGTGACCCTAGGCAAATTTCTCTTCATCTCTCTTATCCTTACTATCCCCTTACGTCGTTTTTCAACCTTCATTCTAGAAGAGGACCAATGACATTGGGAAGGTAACGTCTTGACTTGTGAATGAATTGGATTTAAGTGAAGCAGAGCTGTGCAAAGTCATCAGTCTTACTTTCTCCTCCAGTCTTCTGAGTCCAGTAGCAAGACAGGTCAGGACAACTGAAAATGGCCAGAAAGCAGTGGGAGATCTTGGCCTTTTTAAGCTAAGGCCTTTCCCAGGTCTCAGTTTGTCTGAGGCAACACCCATTCAATAGGTCCCAACCTGAGGCTCACTTTGGGTCTTAATGGCTCCCCATAAGTAAAACAGAGTTAATTAGAGCACCTACCTTACAGAGTTTTTGTGAGGTACCCATAAAGTGTCTTGACACTGTTAAAGAGCTATAGAAATGCTAGCTATCAATTAAACAATTAAGAGCAGCCCCCCAAAAAAATGAAATAGGCAGAGATACAGAGTGACCTTTTCCAAAGAAAAAGCAAGAGGAGAGATTTTGTAACAAAGAGATAAAGTTTCAACTGAGTCATTCCAGTCACACAGACTTGTTAATAAAATACTACTCTATAAAAGTGCACATGAATTTGAATTCACCAGTGCCCAGCACATTTCTGTCTTTGATTGCTCAGGGAGCTGGGTTTGCACATAAGGAGGAGGGCTGACTAAATACAAACAGTCAGTTCCCAGTTATGGGTAGCAGCTTACCTCTGCAGGAGAATTAGGAGTAATTGAAATCAGTAAGATGTCAGCTGTCTGAGCATAGAATTCCCAATTGGAACAGGAGTCTGGAGGTGATTTGTACTATACTGTAACTTTTATTTTCCATTCTCCCCCAGGATCCAAAACAAAAAAATAAAACTACCTCGTTCCTCACTCTCTCCTATCCCCCAAACATCTCCCCCAGCAAACAAAACAAATCTTGGCACAATATTTGGACAAGTACAATGCATTTTACTTTGTAATAATACATGAAAATCATTTTGCAAACCTGAAAGTGTTTCACAGAATTATTTATGAGAAAGAGGAGAGGGAGGAGGGAAAGAGAGCAGGGAAAACGGGAGGGAAGTAGGCAAGCAAGCGAGATTCACTGGGACTTTTAGTAAAGCCTAGGCTAGGATTCCATTTCAATGGCTGATAATGAGCACCTGAAAAGTCTCTGACAAAGCAGAGTACTCTAAGTCCTTTTTCAACGAACCAGGTACTTTGACACCAAAGGATTACCAGTAAGCTTTCTCTTCTTCGAATTACTCTACCACTTAAGATACTTGATTAGACAAGACGTTGTCTGTTTTATGGTGGAAGTAACTGAGCTGCCCTATTTTTTTTTTCTGATTTAATGCTTTTCTTTTAAAATAATTATTTGAATAAGCATTTATTTCTCCCTCACTAACCCCACTAGAAAAAGAACAACCCAAAATAAATAAGGTTCCTATTATCAAAGTTGACAAAAAAAGAAAATGGCAAACATTGGAGGGGCTTTGGGAACATTAATGCATTACTGGTAGAGTTGTGAATTAGTATTATCATTCTGGGGCGGCTAGGTGGCATAGTGGATAGAGCACTAGTCCTGGAATTAAGAAGACCTGAGTTTGAATCCAACTTCAGACACTTATTAGCTGTCTGATCCTGGGCAAATCACTTAACCCTGTTTACCTCAGTTTCCTCATCTGTAAAATGAACTAGAGAAGGAGATGGCCAGTATCTTTGCCAAGAAAACTCAAATGGGATCATAGAGAGTCAGATGCATCTGAAATGACTGAACAATAACAATAATCATTCTGGAAAGTAATTTGGAACTATTCCCTCAAAATGACTAAACTGGGCATACTCCATTAATCAAGTCAGGTCAACAAACATAAAGTATCTACTGGGTGAAAGACATTGTACTAGCTTCTAAATGTGTTGAAATCAGTGGTATTTTTCATTTCTTTTATAACCTCCCCCCCCAAATACCTAATAGGTATTTAATAATTGAAGAGTGCAAGTATGATTGAGGGGCAGCTAGGAGGCTCAGTAGATAGAATGCTCAGGCTTGAAGTCAGGAAGATTCCTCTTCTTGAGTTCAAATCTGGTCTCACATTCACTAGTTGTGTGACCCTGGGCAAGTCACTTAACCCTGTTTGCCTCCGTTTCCCCATCTATAAAATGAGCCAGAGAAGGAAATGGCAAATCATCCCAGTATCTCTGCCAAGAAAACCCCAAATGGGGTCATGAAGAGTCAACCACAATTGAAATGAATCAGCAACAAAAAAGGTATGATGAGGCCAACATTTTCAGTAAAGAAGCATGTCCTCCCAACTCAAAAAGGTCTGGGACTCATTTGGGAAAATTGAAGACTGCTTAAATCTCTAGAGAAACAGTCTTCCATGACTGCTCTAGCTAATAGATTTGACAAAATACTTTAATCACTGCAACACACACACACACACACACACACACACACACACACACACACACCAAACTTTCTATGCACTATGAGAAATCCTACTGAAATGGAAATCAACTGGTTAGCATTGGCAGCTTTGAAATGAGCCTACCATGGATTACAGAGTTTTTTAGGGCAATGGAAAGAATGCAAAGTTTGGAGTCCAATATCCAAGACTAGAAAAAACTCACTGAGCCTCTCTGACCCTCAGTGTCATGGGAGCATAGATGGAAAGACCTCTGACAGAGGAAGGATTTGAATCCATGTCTTTGTTGTTGTTCTTCAGTTGTATCTGACTCTTAGTGACCCCATTTAGGGTTTTATTGGCAGAGATACTGGAGTGGTTTGCCATTTCCTTCTCCAGTTCATTTTTCAGATGAGGAAACTGAGGCAAACAGGGTAAGTGACTTGCCCAGGGTCATATAGCTAGTAAGTGCCTGAGGCCAAATTTGAACTCAGGTCTTCCTGACTCTTGGCCTAGTTCTCTATCTGCTGTACCACCTGACTGCACAAGCTGAACCCAGGTCACTTGACTGCAAATCCACCACTCTTTCTAATGCAACAGAGTGCCTTCACTGATAAAATAAGGATATTTTACTAGATGGCCTCTGTGGACCTGATGGCTTTACATTTATTATCCTGTATAACTGGCTCCTAGAGTTGTACAGGTAAATTCAGTGTATACAAAATAAACATACAAAAAGGTGAATCTTTTCTAAGGAAAATGCTAGGATTTTTAGCTATTTTTTTTTACACTATCCTAAGTCTTTTTTTAAGTGTTAACACAACTCTCAAGTTATAATGGAAGTCAATGTGGAAACTTGATTCAACATACAAAGCTTGTTTTTTCAAACATTTTTACAAGAATTCACTCAATACATAAAGTGAGATGAACTTACTACTCCCAATCATTCCTAGTGTCAGGATATTATCACATGCTGCAAGATGGTTTGAGAAAAAACAAAAAAAGAACAACAAATTTATGAGTCACCTCAAAGAATATAAGTTTCTTAAGGGCAGGAACTATTTTTCTATGTCTAGTACCTAAGCACAGTGCCTGGAACATATTAAGGGCTTGATTAAGATCTACTGAATTAAGAAGCATAGCTTTCTGCTTGGGAATGCTCCCTCACTTCCAAATCTAAACCTTATATTAAAGAATTTCTATATATTATATAAACTTGTGCTCAGTTCATTGGCTCTGAGATCATGCAGCTAGAAGGGAAGTGACCCCAGAGATAACTTAGTCTGATCTCATTTTATGTATGAAGAGACTGAGACCTAGGGTGTGTGACCAGGACTACATAGGTGGTAAGTAGCAGAGGTAGGATTTTAATCCAGTTCCTCCTATTGAGCAGCTAGGTGGTACAGTGAATAAAGAACTGGGCCTGGAATCAGGAAGACCCAGGTTCAAATCTGGCTTCAGACACTTACTAGAGTGTGGACCCTGGACAAGTCACTTAACCCTATTTGCCTCAGTTTCCTCACCTGTAAAATGAGCTGGAGAAGCAACTGGCAAACCACTTTAGTATCTTTGCCAAGAAAACCGTAAATGGGGTCACAGAGAGTGATACATGACTGGAATGCCTGAACAAAGCAAACCTCCTACTGGCTGTGTAACCCCGGGAAAGTTGCACCTTCTCAGAACCCCAAACTGCCCAAGGCTCTAAGATAAAGTGACTGAGAAGGTGCCAACAAGCAAAGTCCTCCTTCCCATCATATAACTTATATTAGCAAAGTGTTTTTTACTTGTCTGATGAATGGTGAGGAGGCAGTGTGGGAGTGTGGCTCTCAATCTTTTGTTTTTCTTTTTTAGTAATGTATCTATTTCTCATAAAGCAAGAAAATAACTTACATAATGGTTTGAAGTCACAGAAATATCAGAGAAACACATACAGCAAAACTAAGAAATTTCATCCCTCCAGTTCACCCCCAAGGTCCAAATATGCTTTTGCTCCTTAAGGAAATAATTATTTTGGGAAAATGTTTTAGCCTGACACCTAGATTACCCATACTTCTCATAGGAGTTACTAGGCCAATTCTTTCCAAAATAATTGGTCTCTACAGTTTTCCTCCGGGAAAAACAGTCCTCTTGAAGAGTGAAGAATGCCATCTGGAATTTGTAATGTTTTAGCTATTGTAAAGGAGGAATGCTCCTTCTTGAGTTTTAGGAACAAATAAACATGTGTTCAATTAGAACTGTCCAGTTGGAAAGTGGAAGATAAAGGGCATATGACCAGATGGGGCCCTCTGACTGTCATACAGATCTGAATTACTTGGAGGGAAGCTTGATAACTATGTCTTTAAGACTAGCAATCTGGATTGGAGAATTATCAGTTTTGCTTAACTTAGGGCACTTACTAAGATACCCATAGAAAAGTTTCTGGCTTTGCAGAGTCCCATTCTATTTTTGAAGAGTGAAGATGCAGCTAGGGGGTGCCGTAGTTCAGAGTGCTGCACTTCGAGTCAGGAAGATCCGAGTTCAAATATAGCCTTAGACATGTACTGCCTGTGTGACCCTGGGAAAGTTACTTGATTTTATCATCATCATCATCACCACCACTACCACCCTCTGGAGTCATCCTGGATGGACACTCTCAGAAGTCAGACATTTGCAGTGCTCAAGCTAGCACTCAGGAGCTATTACAATGGGTTAGAAGGAAAACTCCTTCATCCTCCATCTGTTCAGGCTGACTACTGCTTTCCATTGTTCCTCTTCTGTAAAAAGAGAGGATTAGTAAGTAAGAATCTTTCCCGGACCCTTTGTAGCTCTCAGCTAGGATGTTAGGCTGATCCTACAAATGGCTTTTTCCTACAATCCACACCAAACCATAAAAACAAAAACAAAAATTCAACTTACTACAATGAGAGTAAACAAGGGAAGAAAGAAAGATGAGAAGCATCCTAACGAAAGGGATCCTTTATGGAGGACATAACTCTAATTTCTGGAATCCAATGGATACCCCTGGGTCATCAGAGATAAAAAAAAATATTATTGCTACAACAGCTGTTAAAAATAAATAATTTCAATAACAAAAGTATGAGGAAAATGCCACCAAATAAATGTTTAGTGCCATTGGACTTAGAAATGACTCAGTTGAAGCATAATTATTAAGTGATGAGAGTCATCCTTGACTCCTTTCTCTCCCTCAGCTTACATATCCAGTTTACTGCCTAATCCTGTCAATTCTCTCTCTAAAATATCTGTATCCTCTGGCCTCCTGTCATCAATCCCCCTGCCACCAAAACCACTCAATTTCAGTTTCCAAGCAGTCCCCCAAACCGTAGTTTTGCCCTTGCCCATCCAATACTACTTCAACTGAATCTTTTGAAGGCTAAGACTGACCAAAACAAGTCATCATTCAAAAATTAAAACAAACAAACAAACAAACAAAAAAACCCCCACCAATCACCCCATACTGCCTGGGGATAAAGCCTAAACTCCTTATATTGTTTTTAAGACCCTCTATAATTTTTCTCCTCTCCTCTTTTCTCTTGTTTTCTTCCTTCCCTGCATTCCTCCTTTCCTTCCTTCATCTCTCTTGCCCCTTATATAATTAACAATCTAGTCGGAGCAGGCTGCCTGCTCTCTCATATACATCCATTGCCTCACATTGGTCGCTACTCCTCAGACATTGGTGTTCTCCCTCCAGCCCCATCACCTCCTCCCACTCTGTACCTCCACCTCTTGGTATTCCACCCATCTTTCAAAGCCCAATTTAATGCTCCCTTCTCTCTGACTGACTGAGCCTTCTCTCTCACTTGATTCCAGTTGTCAGATTTTATAATACTCTTTTGCCCTTGATTACATTCTAAATTCACATGTTGTTTCTTTGTGGACATGTTTTATCACTCAAATAGATAGTAAATCACGTGGGAACAGGCTGCATACACACCACACACACACGCACACACACACACACAGAGTCATCCTCACCTTAGCATAGATGCAGCTCTCATTCAGTTTCTGGAGCATGCAGTTTCTCTCACACATGGGGCACATCAGGATCTCTGTGGCTTGGCAGATTTCTTTGCTGAAAAATTTAAACGAGGGGAATTTAAAAAAATGCCAATAACATTCTAAGCAGAATCTTTATGGTCTTATTCACATGAGATGCAGAAAAAGAACACATTTAAGAGAAAGAAAAGGAAGGTAGTGGCAATTAAGTTCAATGTATACATTTTGTGGTCTAAGGAATTTTGAAAACTACCATAATTGCTGACATTTCTACAGCGCTTCTGAGTTACAAAGAGCTCTCATTATAACAGTCCTCTGAGATAGATGGGGCCAGAGCTTCTTCATCTTCTTCTTCTTCTTCCTTTTTTTTTTAAAGCTAGGCAATGGGGTTAAGTGACTTGCCCAGGGTCACACAGCTAGCGAGTGTTATGTGTCTAAGGTCGGATTTGAACTCAGGTCCTCATGACTCCAGGGCTGGTGCTTTATCCACTACGCCACCTAGCTGCCCCTGAGGGCTTCTTATTTCTGTTCAGTAAATAGGGAAATTGCGATTTGTTTCAGAGCTGGAACTTGAACCCATGTATTCTGAAGTCACAACCATTGCTTTTTACCATGGAATGACTACTGAGGTTAACGTGTACTAGTAAAAGTGATACTGCTCATAGGAAAGAGTGTAAAACATATCAAAGAAATATAAAATTGAAAATGAGGTGAACTGGTCATGTAAGTGAATGATAGCTAACAGAGTCAGACTGAATATCAGAATTGCTATTCATGGAATGTTGACAGTCAATAGTCAGTCAATAAACATTCATTAAGCATCTATTATACGGCAGGTGCAGTGCCAAGTGTTGATGATACAAAAAGAGGCAAAAGACATTCCTTGCCAACAAGGAGCTTACAATCTAATGGGGTAGATAAGAAAACAAATATGTACAACCAAGCTGCATACAGGAAAAAGAGAAAATGATTTAAAAATGAATGGCGCTAGAATGATGAGGGGATGGAAAAGATTTCCCATATAGGACAGGATAAAGGAAGGTAAGAATGCCAGTGGGAAGAGATGAGGAGGGAGAGCAATCTAGGCATGGGGGACAGCAAGAGAAAATGCTCAGAGTTATTAGATAGAGTGTCTTCTTGGTGGACCAACCGAGAGGTCAGTGTCACTGGACTGAAGAATATGTTTTGGGGAGTAAGATGTAAGAAGACTGGAAAGGTAGGAGGGAGCTAGGTTAGGAAGGGCTTTAAATAACAAATAGGATTTTGTATTTGATTGTGGAGGTGATAGGAAGCCACTGGAGTTTTAGTTTTAGTGAGGGGGGGGAATGACATGGATGGACTGATGCTTCAGGAAAAGCTGGTGGCTGAATGGTGGATGGACTGGAATGGGGAAACACTTGAAGCAGATAGCCCCAATAGCAGGCCATTGCAATAATCTAAGTGTGAGATGGTGAGAACCTATACTAGGATGGTGGCAGCATCAGAAAAGAGAAAGGGGAACATTTGAGACATGGTACCAAGGTGAAATTCATAGGATTTGACAGCAATGGCCGTGTGTGTATGAGAGAGCTAGTGAGGAATCAAGGAAGATAACTAATTTGTAAACTTGGGGGACTGGGTGTATGGTGTCACCCTCTATATTAATGGGGATTTTTTGGGGGGAGGGCAGGGTTTAACAGGAAAGATAATGAGTTTGGTTTTGGACATGTTGAGTTTAAGATGTCTGGGGGCCATCCAGTTTGAGATGTGCGAAAAGAAATTGGAGATCCAAGACTGGAGGTAAGCAGAGAGGTTGGGAGAGGACACATAGATTTGAGAGTCATTGGCATAGAGGTGGTAATTAAATCCTCAGGAGCTAATGAATGGAAGGGTTCCAGTGGGTTCGAAATATGTCTTAGGAGAGACTGGTAGAACATAGACAAAAACTATACAGAAAGAAAAGATGGGTGGACCACTGGATGAGAGCTTGAATCCACTGGAATATTCAAATAGGTATTTATCTTTGTAGCTCATGACATTTACTTCTTTAGCTTTTTTTCCTCTTTCTCTTTGCTCATCTTGTCTTTGTATTTATTTATGCCTTTCTTCCATAATTCCCCAGCCTGTGCTCTCTTCTCTATCTACCTACCTAAAAGCTTTATTGATGCTTTTTTCTTAATTCACCACCATCTACTGATTTCTTTATATCACTATCCAAGGTTGCCAATGATTCCTTTCCCTGTGTTCCCCCTTCCTGCATTCCTACAAGCATCTTTTTTCTATTAACAAAGAACACCAGGGTAAAACAAACTAGCATGTTGACATCAACTTTCAAGGCAGTCTGATGTCCATGACCTCTTGATTCCTCACGAAAATACTCTGAAATATGGGAAGGGCGAATATTGCTATCCCCATTTTTCATAAATACAGAAACTGAGGCTCAGAGAAGTTTAATTGGCTGCTCAAGGTCACAAAGCAAATAATTAGTAGAGCTGGTGCTGGAACCTAGACTTTCTACTCTCCTCTGTACAGGTGCACGGTCACAGAAAAAGACAGTCATCAACAATTAAGAAAACATCCTAAACTATACTATGGGAAGCAGGAAGTAAAGTTTTGTGTTTTTTTTAACATAAATTTATTTATTTTTAGTTTTCAGTATTCACTTCCACAAGTTTTTGAGTTCCAAATTTTCAGGCCATCTCACCCCTTCCCCCACACCAAGATGGCATGCATTCTGAATATCCCTTCCTCTAGTCTGTCCTCTCTTCTATCTCTCCGCCCTTCTCTTATCCCTTTCCCCTTCTGTTTTCCTGTAGGGCAAGATAGACTTCTGTACCCCATTTCCTGTATTTCTTACGTCCCAGTAGCATGTGAAAACATGTTTTTTAAACATGTGTTTTTAAAACTTTAGGTTTCAAATTTTCTCTCTTCCTCCCTCCACACCCACCCTCATTGAAAAGGCAAGCAACTCAATATAGGTTGTACATGTGCAGTTATGCAAAACACTTCCATAGTAGACATGTTGTGAAAAACTAACTCTATTTCCCTTAATCCTATCCTGCCCTCCCATTTATTCTATTCTTTCTTTTGACCCTGTCCCTCCTCAGAAGTATTTACTTCTGATTACTCCCTTTCCCAATCTGCCCTCCTCTCTATCATCCCCCTGCTCTCTTGTCCCCTCCCCCTATTTTCCTGTAGGGTAATACAGATTTCCATACCCAATTGAATGTGTATGTTATTCCTCCTTAAGCCAAATCCTATGAGAATAAGATTCACTCATTCCCTCTCACCTTCCCCTTTCCCCTCCACTGTAAGAGACTTTTCTGTTTTTTTTTGTGAGATAATTTACCCCATTCTACCTCTCCCTTTCTTCTTCTCGAGTATAATCCTCTCTCATCCCTTAATTTTATTCTCCAGATATGACCCCTTAATCTTCAACTCACCCTGTGCCATCTATCTATATATACATACATATAATTTTTTTTCTTCAACTACCCTAATACTGACAAAGTCTCATGAGTTATAATATCATCTTTCCATGCAGGAATGTAAACAGTTCAATCTTAATAAGTCTCTTATGATTTCTCTTTCCTGTTTACCTCTTCATGTTCCACTGAGTCCTGTATTTGAAAGTCAAATTTTCTATTCAGCTCTGGTCTTTTCATCAGAATGCTTGAAAGTCCTCTATTTCACTGAATGACCATTTTTTCCCCTGAAGGATTATACTCAGTTTTGCTGGGGTGATTCTTGGTTGTAATCCTATCTCCTTTGCCCTCGGAATATTATATTCTATGCCCTGTGGTCCTTTAACATAGACGCTGCTAAATCTTGTGTTATCCTGATTGTGTTTCCACAGTACTTGAATTGTTTCCTTCTGGCAGCTTGCAATATTTTCTCCTTGACCTGGGAACTCTGGAATTTGGCTATAATATTCCTAGGAGTTTTCCTTTGGGGATCTCTTTCAGGAGGAGATCTGTGGATTCTTTCAATTTCTATTTTGCCCTCTGGTTCTAATATTCAGGGCAGTTTTCCTTGATAATTTCTTGAAAGATGATGTCTAGGCTCTTTTTTTGATCATGGCTTTCAGATAGTCCAATAATTTTTAAATTCTCTCTCCTGGATCTATTTTCCAGGTCAGTTGTTTTTCCAATGAGATATTTCACATTGTTTTCTAATTTTTCATTCTTTTGGATTTATTTTACAGTGTCTTGATTTCTCATAAAGTCACTATCTTCCAATTGCTCTATTCTAATTTTTAAGGAAGTATTTTCTTCAGTAATCTTTTGGACTTCCTTTTCCATTTGGCCAATTTTTCTTTTTAGGGCATTTTTCTCCTCATTGGCTTTTTGGACCTCTTTTGCCATTTGGGTTAGGCTATTTTTTAAGGTGTTATTTTCTTCAGTATTTTTTTGGGTCTCCTTTAGCAAGCTGTTGACTTGTTTTTTGATTTTCTTGCATCACTCTCATTTCTCTTCCCAGTTTTTCCTCTACTTCCCTTACTTGCTTCTCAAAATCCCTTTTGAGCTCTTCCAAGGCCTGGGACTGATTCATATTTTTCTTGGAGGCTTTGGATGTAGGAGCTTTGACTTTGTTGTCTTCTTCTGGTTGTATATTTTGATCTTCTTTTTCACCAAAGTAAGATAATATAGTCTGACTCTTTTTGCGAGACTTGCTCATGATCCCAGCCAATTACTTGAGTTTTAAACTCTTTGTTAAGGTAAGAGTCTGCTTCCAATGTGGAGAGTGTACTGTCCCAAGCTTCAGGGGTTTGTACAGCTGCTTTCAGCGATACTTCTAGGGACCTGTAAATTTTCAGTTCTTCCAAGGTGGTATGATAAGGGGCAGGTGTTTACTCCTTTCCTGGCCTGTGACCACAAGTATTCCTTTCTGTCCTGTAACTGTGAGGAGGGTTCTCTCTCAGCCACTACAAGCTCCACCATGCCAGCGCTCCTCCTCACCCCAGCACTGCCCAGAACTGTGACCCAGATCCACACACGGGCAAAGCAAGAGATTCCTGCCTCAGCACTGGCAAAGAGATCCCTGCAGTCCCTCTCTGATCAGCCACTGGATTCCCCCTCAGTCTGTGGGCTGGAAGCT